ACGCTGTCGAGTTTAAATAGCGGCAAATCAGCTGCACTTGATAGTAGTTGGTTGAATAAGGAAAATGAATTAGCAACAAGAGTTTACGGGATGTACATAGCTCAGTGGTTAACGCTTCTGACTTTGAACATCGAATTCGCAGGTTCGATCCCTGCTGAAGTCTAGAAAAAAGAAGTCTGATGAGGAGATGTGGTGATCTCCGAAATAGTGCTATAACTTCTACCGCTTAAACTTTGTTGCTTTTTCAATTTTTCCTAATAAACAATCGTGGTACAGAGCTCAATAAAAAAATATTAAAAATAAAAAATGTTAACAAGCCACAATAACATTGACGAAAAATATTTATTTTCAAGAACTCTTTACCTTTTCTACGAAAACTTGTTTTTTCCAGTATAAAATACATATATGGAAAAAGTGTAGCGCCTTGAGCACTCTCTAAAAATTTTTTGATTTCAAAATAAAAAATAGGGGTATATTTTTTCGGTATTTAACAATCCTAGGGGGTGGCGGCATTAAAATTCTTACTTTACTTTATTTTGGGCCACCCTAACGTACATACATATTCATATATAACGCCTCATGAGAAACCGAAAACTGATTTTTAAATTTTTAAATTTTACTATTTTAAAGTTGAATAGTGTTGTGCTTTTTAAACCGATTGAATACTTCAAAAGCTTGCTGGAAAGGTAATTTTACGTACATTTTAAATAAAACATAATGTAGAATTTTTCTAATATATACTTAAAAAAATTCGAAATAAAAGAAATTGGTGTAATTTCGATATTTTTGGTCGAAAAAGCGCAACCCGGAACCTCTAGGAATCACCTGAAGGCTTTTAAACTAATTACGTATTTATTTATATCCCCAACCTCACATTATTCTGTGCGAAAACTTTTGGATTCCTGCATTTCAAATTTTACATACAACAGAAAGGCCACTCTAATGTATTCATAGTCAGCTGTCGAAGCGACGCCAACGCCGACGCAACGCCAAAGTTGTATGCATAACTGGGCTATAACAGTTATCAGGGGTACTGGGGGGAATCAAAAAACTTGTAAGCACTTGTAGACAAGACTACGCTTTATTAAAAAAAAATTAATATCAGCCCTATTCTGCATTTCTATTACGTTCCCGCATTCCGCTTCGCAACAATCTTAAAATGGTATCCTGAGTTACGATCGAATCGAAAGAAGAGGAGGAGCGAAAACATTTTCGAAATCAGCTGGTTAGCTAGGAATGTGTGAAATCGAAACAAAACGAAAGAAATATTTGCCCCCAAACTATAGCAGCTTATGAAGTTAAAATTTGTAAATATTTTAAAACAACTAAATATATCTAACATCATTGTAATTTCAAAATAAAATTTAGTTTGGACTTAATTTAAGTGGAAACATAATTATAAAAATGAAATCCATAGCCGCGGCGTTATTGCTTGAAGAGGAGAACGAGTCCCGGGAAATGTTTAGTAGCTGACCCATCGTTTTTGGGGTGGGCGGAGGGGGAGGGGGAGGAAAAAACAGGTTTTTATAAAAAAAAATTCTTTTTAACAAATGTATTTTTGCGTAGAATTCCTTTCTGCGTAGGCGGCCTTCGGCCGCACTTAGGGATTATAACCCTCACAAAGTAGAATTCTCTTTCTGTTTTGGGAGGAAAAGGAGCTGAACACCTTTTGCAGAGAACACCTTTCTTCGTAGGCGGCCTTCGGCCGCACTTAGGGATTATAACCCTCACAAAGTAGAATTCTCTTTCTGTTTTGCGAAGAAAAAAAAGCTGAACACCTTTTGCAGAGAAAACCTTGCTGCGTAGGCGGCCTTCGGCCGCACTTAGGGATTATAACCCTTACAAAATAGAATTCTCTTTCTATTTTGCGAAGAGAAGGAGCTGAACACCTTTTGCAGAGAACACCTTTGTATATTTTTAATGCTTACTGGGTTATATCCTATCTTCTTTTGTCTTTCATTCTTTTGCAGATTTTGGAGTTTGACAGCTGAACTCCGCCATTTAATTTGCATATGCAACCCATGATGTAATGAACTGAAGGTGGCGCATTCCCGAAACCGCTACTTTGGTTTTGCCGACTTTGACGTTTATGGCAATACGTAAACAAACATTTAGTTTAGAAACAAGTGCAAACGATTACAAACGTGTTGTGTACTTTCAAGTGAAAATCGAAGTAATTCGTGCGTTCTAAAGTAAAAAACGTTTTATTTGTAATAAAAAACTTTATAAAAATGTCGTGTCGTGTGTTGAATTGCAGCAGCCGTAGGGGTAAAACCCCCAAATGCAGGTTTTTTCACTTTTTTTATTATCACTGTTTCGGCACCTGCAATACAAACACAAAAATTCTAAATAGTTAATTAATAAGACCAATTCTTTTGAACACATTTCAAGAGTGGTTGTATATTTTTTGTTAAGGTTGTGCTTAATTTGCTATTGTGACGAATACTGCGGCAACGCGAAGCGAACAACGAGAAAAAGGCAGAATGTTCGAGGAATGACGTAGAATGTTCCACAACGAGATACGTCAAGTTGGATGAACACTGTGAACAGCGAGAGAAAGAGAATAAGCGATAAACTTCAGAACGTTCTAGAGTTGCCATAAGTACGAGCGCAGGTATATAAGGGCGCCGCCACAGCGAAGTGAGTTAGTTACGAAGTTATAAGACAGCAAGCTACAAGTAAAGCGAGCAGAGAAGTGAGTTTC